TAATCCTGGATCATTTTTGTTGAAACTCTAATTATACATCACCTTAATTACCAGTACCAGCCCCCCAACGATCCTTAATTGCTTCCTAATTGAATAAAACAGGGAGCTAATGGTGCCCAAGGCGGCCGGGAGCTGTCCCAGGCCCTGCCTCCCCTGGGGCCGTGGCGGGAGCCCCAGTCACCTCCCCCCAGCCTCTGCAGAAAAATCGGGACCTAGTCCCCTCCCTGGAGCACTGCCCAGAGGGGACCTGGGGTCTCCAGAGCTTTGGGGCGGGGAGGGGCCAGAGGGCTGGCGCACCTGCTCCTCCAGGGCAGCCCAGGCAGCGGTGGGGGAGACCCATAGGGCAGCCACCCTACAGCCAGCCTGGAGAGCCCCTCCTTGGCCTCTGCACCACGGCACACCCAGCGGCTGGCGGCAGGCAGGGCCCCGGACGCACAGTACAGCACCCGGGCACCGGGCCTGGCAGCCAGCCCTACACTGCCCCACCACCGAAGCCTCCACGTTTTCGTCCGACGCGGGTGGGACGCTCCAGCCCCGCGAGAGGGATCCTGGGGCTGCTGCCCTAACTGGTGCTGCAAGAAAGGCTGCTGGCAGGGCTCTGAGGAGAGCTGTTGGGAAGGGGCTTCCCGAGGGTCGGAGGAGACAGCTGGGGGTCAGGGGCACCCCAGGAGCAGAGCTGGGTCTGTTTCCGCGGGCAGGAGGAACCGGGCTGCAAGCTGGGCCTCCACCCCTGCTCGCCCACTGCTCACACATCTCCAGGACACACCGCGGTCCACACTTTGGGAGGGGCTTGTGCACCCTCTCCCCTCCCAGTCTGGGCACTGGTGGTGTCCAGGGCCATGGCGTCCGTCACCTCTGCAGGGCCAGGCCTCCGAGAGCAGGTCTGGTGGGGGCTCAGGTCCCCGAAAAAGAGGCCCCCAGCTGTGCTTTGAGGAGGGTGGAGGTCAGGAGGGCACTGTGGCTCTGCTAACCCCCACCTGCCCACCTGGTTCACAGCAGTGGCAGAAACAATAAGCTATTGTCAGAAATTTCATCTTTAAATGTGAGCCAGGACAGCCCCTGCCCCAGTGGCCAGCACTGGCCCCGCTTGAGTAAGCAGACCGTCCCTGGACTGCCTTTCTCAGCTCCTTCCCCAGGCTCAGGTTCCCCCGGACTGACCCACAGCCCGCCTGGGTGCCCTCGAAGCCTCTGTCCTTGGGAGACTCAACCGACTCCTCCCCACAGGCCCTGAAGTGCCAACCCCCGGCAGGGCCCACCAGAGCCGCCACCTGGTCAGGCCTGGGGCAGGGTCACCAGGAAACACAAACGAAATCACAGCCCCAGATGCACCCTCAGGGCAGCTCCCCAAGTGCTGGGTCACAAGTCACATCCCCTGGCCTGGCTGTCCTCCTGTCCCCTGTCCTTCCGTTTGAAACGCAAGGGCAATGTGGAGCCGGGAATCACTAGGACCTGGCTCCCTCCCCAGCCCCGCCAGGGTCGGGGTGCTTGAGGAAGGGGCACCCGCTGCTGCCCACAGCCCCAAGCTTGGGTTTCAGCAGCACAGTCAGGACCCAGCGCTTTCACATCTGCCTAAAATGCTGTCCCGGGAAATGAAATTCCTCAGTGGACCGGCTGCCGCCCTTCTGAGGCTGCCACCTTCTCGGGGAGGCCTGGGAACAGCTGTGGCACCTGGAGGGGGTCCCGGGGTTCCCCCACGCCTGCGCTCAGATCTGGGCCAGGCAGGCAAGCTCCTCCCTTGAGCTGTTGCTCGCTGAGGGGGACCCGCAAGCGTGTGTCCTGGGCTCCCATCAGGGCTGGTTCTCCAGCCTCCCGGTCTCAGGACTGCGGCCCATGCTGGTCACAGCAGAGCTGGGGTTAGGCAGCCAACAGCCTCACCTGACAGAGGTGCAGCAGGCAGAGAGGGCTGAGTGCCCCGCCAGGCAAGAGCCTCTGAGAAGTTCCAGGGCCTTGCATGGTGCACGGTGCTCTGCTCTTTGCCTGCCTCTCGCTTGCAGCGAAGTCCCAGGCTTAACTCTTTCTCACTCCAGCTTTGGGCCCTTCCCTGAGAGGGCTCCACCAGGGCCTGGCCTGCAGCCTGGGTGTCCAGACTTGGGAAAGACCCGCGCTGCACACACAAACCCAAGCATCTACCCAACACCCACCTCCATGGGCCAGGCGGCCACGCAGGGCAAACGCACACAACCCCTCAGCCTCTGCGGAGAAACGTCTGGCCTTGTTCGCACCAAGAGGGGTCAGAGGTCACGGAGGCCCAGGAGGCCGAGGCCAAGGACAGACGGCAGAGAAGCCGGGTTGGGAAGGGGTGCCTCCCCCGGGGGCCACGAACGGCCTACGGCGGAGCCCGGGGCGTCTGGCAGCAGACAGGAGCTGCTTTTCCCTGCAGGCTGGGCGTGCGGCCTATGGCTGTGGCTGCGGGGCCCGCGGTGGGGCCCAGCCGGCCGGATCCTGAGCCAAAAGCGCAGAGCTTTTCCGGAAAACCGCCTAAGCCCCGCGCCCACCGGGCTCGCGCTGGAGGGCACCGCTCTGAGCGCCGTGAGGCCAGGCTGCCTGTGCCGGTCCGGGTCGGCCCAGGAGGCGCAGCGGCCCGGCCGAGTGGTCGCGGGGTCTCCGCCGCGCGG